TTTAGCGCAAAAAAAATCTGGCAACGCTGGTGGCAATATTGTTAATTAAAATGTTATTGGTTGCTAAGAATGTTGGAAAATGATCCAATAAATCAGTCTGAATTATACCTGTGAAAAGAGGACTATTATAAAAACTGTTAGTTATGATGTTATCAAGTAGAGTAGAAGACTTTATTGTAACTCTAGTTGATTTGTTTATTGTTGGATTAAAGTTATTTTCTAAAAGAGTATTTATAAAATTCTTAGCATTATTATTAGAAGCATAGTTGATTAGGTTGATGTTAAAATCCCCGACCAAATGTATATGTTTCCTGGAATTTTTAATTTTGTTTAGAAATGTTTTAAGATGAGTTTTAAATTTTTTCATGTTGCCAGATGGTGGTCTATAAATATTATTTATAATTATGTCTTTTTCAGTTTTATTTACTATTTCAATGCATAATGATTCACAATCTGTTTAATTAACACAGAGGTCGTTACGTAAAATATAATTAAGTGAATCATGGATAAAAATACTAACACCCCCACCTGCATTAAATTCACGTGGTTGGTGAATTAATGCGTAATTAACTAGATCAAATTCATAATTTGTTTCACCACTTTTACACCAAGTTTCCATCAGACATATAATTTTAAAATCGTGTTTAAGTTCATTTAATAATATTTTCAAATTTTGAATGTTTTTATTCAAACTTCGAACATTGATATTTAAAATTGAAAAAGTGCTTTTATTTTTTTAAGATGTTGCGAACATTCAGAAACGGAGTAATATTTACTTTCTAATATTTTGTGATTAAGAAAATTTGAGTCGGTGTCATAATCACCGAGAATGTCATTTTCATCCAAAAATTTAATTACAAAATTTTCCTCCATTTTAAAAACAATTAAATTTAAAATAAGTAATAGTAAAAATAAAATTCCGTTAATTAATAAAAAATATTATGAAGATGAATTTTTGCTTTTCTTTGCAATCCAATCGCGAATTATCAATTTATCAATGCAAACTTAGCAGCTGCTCGTTCGATTTTCATTTTTTCCTACAAACCTTTTCGAATTTGCGTTGTTTCAGAACAGAAATCTTCGTTTATATAGATGTTTTTCCTTTTCAGATTGCTTGACTTGCTCAAAATTGCAACTTTATCTTTAAACTGCAAGAGTTTTATCACTATTGTTCTCCGCTTATTTGATTCTTTTTTTCCTGTTCTGTGGGCCTGTTCAATTTGGATATTTTTAACAGATAGTAACTCTTCAAAAACCTTTTTTACCTTAAGTTCGCTTTCCTCCCAGCTTTCACCTTCATTTTCATTAATTCCATCCACTCTTAAATTATTACGTCTCGATCGATCTTCTATCTCCCTTAACTTTTTTTGTATGCGTGTAATTTCTGAATTGTCTTCTTTACTGAAAACATTTGCTTTCTTAACTTTTTCATCTATTAGTTCTTCATGAAAATTTAAACTATGCTTCAATTCTTCTATATCTTTTTCAACTTTTTCCAATCTGCCATTAAATATTTTTAAGTTTCCACTAATAATGTCGATAAAAACTATTTCCTGTTGTTTTAAAATCAATTCGAAATCTTTTTTATAGCCTTCAAACAATTTTGCTATTTTTGATAATGTAACAGCCATATTATATAAAAAATGAATTATTTTCTCAAGAAAAATAAATAAAATATACTAAAGATTTAAGATTATACAGTTTTTTCTTTAAATTTGTTACTTAGTTACTCAACGAACACTGTACTAATGTTCAATCTTCAACAGGGCCGTCCCGAAGGAAGGGGTGTCGGGGGTGGCCCACCCCCCAAAGCTGTCATTTAAGCATTTGAGTTGGCACATTGAGCAAGTTTTGAACTATAGTTGGCAAATTGCAAATGTTGAGGACCTTTTTTTTTTTTTTTTGGTGTTTCTAGTTGGCCTTTTACCTCAGTCGATGTATTTACATTTAGTTCTTGGTATTCCTATTGCCAGTTAATGTATTTTTGCCAAATAATTCACAAAACATCATATAAATTTATCAATATATTTAAATCCACAAAATATTTGTGCTCGTTAAAATGTTTTTGTCAGCAAAAAAATTGAAGGTTGATATTTGAAAATGAAAATAACAAATTTAATCTAAGTTTAGAAATCAATTTTTTTAAATTTAATTAAAATTTGTTTTAATTAGTATATGTAAGTATATTATGATGACGACACTCAATTTCAATTAAGTAATGCATTAAAGCATAAAAGTATTGAATATGGAAGTTAAACTTTATCTTCAATCAAATTAAAGAAAAGCCATTAAGCAGTATTGTCAAAAGAACATTTTAATCTACCTATTTCAAATGATTTTGGATATTGGCCAAAGTTTAAAAAAATAAAATATTGGTCAAAATTTTATATTCGTTAAGCAAATCATAATTGTTTTTGGTTTTGAAGAACACTTAAAAAATATGTCTAAAGATACTTTTCTTAAATTTTAAAATTCTGTTTCAAGTAGTTCTGTAACAAATTTTTCTAACATAATATACTTGTAACAAAGGTGTTTCTCTTAATAGCGTTTTAATCAGCTAGACTTTTTCTTCTTATTTATAACTTGTGAAATGCTTTTTGACATGTGTTGATATTTTATGCTTATTTTCTGATTTTTTCATGCATAATGCTGTATCGCAAAAATCCAAAACAATTTTTATCATTTAGATCTCTGAGGGAGCTTTTTGATCATTATTGAACCTAAAATATATGCCCACACCTTTTAGATTAAAAGTTTTCCATTACGTGACAGCAAGTTTAATAAAGTTGCCAGTCTTGGTAAAGTTTGAGATAGTAGAAGTTTCAGGGTGATTAAAAAGAACATTGTAAATATTCTTAGAAAAAAACGTTTTTGCTTTCTAAGTCCATTATTTTGTATGTTTTTGATGACGTGGACAAAAGTCAAACAACAAAAGAGTTCCATCTGTAGTTAACGAAGCCTTTGCTTTGCTATTTGACTCTCTTACTGATTCTAAAGTTAAATGAATTTGATCGCATAAAAAATAGGAATTTATATGTTTACAGGTTTCCAAACATTTTCAAAAGAAATTTAGGACCATCAAACATATAATTTGTATTACAAGTTATCATAACATCTAAAACAATTTTCGAAAAAGAATTTATATCATTGGTTTTCCAAAATCAACAACTTTCTTTTACAATAACATTTTTGTAACTACTAGGAGCTATTATTTTCTGTGACAAGGTGTATATCATGTCACAGAAAAAAATATCTATTTGTAGAAATTTCGAAATTAAAAAAAAAATTAGTAAAAAATTCATTGCAATTTTAGAATAAACTAAAAATCTAACTAAGAGAAAAACTGTGCAAAATGTTATTTTAGTTTAACCTCTTTGATGTTTTGATGTCAGTCAGATCATATAATAAAGTGTTTTAAAACTCGCATAAGGTAAACATTCTATGCAACGTGTTTTCTACTCTTTGTCTCTGGGAAATCTATAAATTTTTTTAAACGTTTTTAAATTGTTTGACTTCTTCAATGATAAATAACTCGGAGAACAGCTAAACACATTTCACCATTTTTCATAAACAAACAAATTTCATGTGAGACAAAACTCGCGATAAACATGGGTTTTTCAGTAAAGCATTTCATTTTTCCGACTAAAATTTTTCCGTAACATAGTCAACTTGGCTCAGCTAAAATATTGAATAAGTTTTGGAATGCCGCATTTTGACTAATTGTAACCTCCATATCTTATCTAAAATATTTTTCTCTTTTGCATAAAAAAAAAATCTATGTTAAAAAAAAAAAAAGAAAAAAAACTGAGCTGACTGTAGCAATTGCTGCACTTGCAACAGCCTGGATCCGCTCCTGTATATATATATATATATATATATATATATATATATATATATATATATATATATATATATATATATATATATATATATATATATATATATATATATATATATATATATATATATATATATATATATATATATATATATATATATATATATATATATATATATATATATATATATATATATATATATATATATATGTATATATATATATATATACATATATATATATAAAGATTCTCAAAATTCTCAATTACATATTGTGATCCCTATTTATTTAACAAATTAGTTTCCTAAAACGAATCACTGTTAAACCTAAACAACGAACACTCTCTGAAAATAAAGCTAAAATCTACAATAATCAAATTAAACAACTATAACGAATTTTTAAAAAATATTAATTAAAAAAATTTAAAAAATTTAGCTTAACTTTTGATACAAATCGACAAAAAAAAATAATACAAATAACAAGGTATATATGTACAACATACATATATACCACATATGCAATTAATTTTTATGTACAGGCCCTTTCAGAGGGGAAGTCACATGGGCCATATGGCCAGGGCCTCCAATTTTGTTGGGGCCTCACATTTTCAAAACACATTTGTTAAACACGAAAATAAATATCAAAGTAATTATTTTAATCTAATTATTCTAAACAATTTAACTTTAGGTTAACTTAAAATAATAAATTAATTTCTTTTCCATAATTACACATTTCCAAACCTAAATTCGACATGATAAAGATTACGTCATGTAATGATGCAATTAACCCTCCGTCGGTCGCGCTTGATCAAATTGATACAAATACTTTTAACTCGTACGAGTTTTTAAGTTATGACTTAGTGTTCTGCTTTTTAGTAGCTTCATTTTTTCTTAAATTTTTTAGTTGTAATTCATCAAACAAGATTAAATCAATTTGTTTTGAACTGTTTCTTACCATTTTGTATAAAATTGATATATTGGGCTTTTGTACATTGCGTTTTGTACGTTACATTTCGTAACTTTGAGAATAGTAATATTTTTTTGTTCTGGTAAATATTTTTTAATTTTAAAACATAATTCGTTTTATAAATTTATATAAAATCGATTGATGTATAAATTTATTATATTTTCAAATTTCAATATTATTTCCAGATACCATTAAAATGAAGAGAAGATTTTATAGTGGTGCAAGTAAAAGTCGGCGGAGAAAAGAATTTTTGCCGAAGAAGCATGCACCAACTTAAAAAAAATATATTCGTTTTTAAAAAAATCACAAAACACAGTTCAAATTGAACAAGCTATCCAAACTCAAAGTGTGAGTGACAATGGTAACATTGAAAATATAGTTGTTCCAATTGCAGAAGACCCAATTTTGGAACAACAACCAGCAGGAAATTTAAATATTGTAAACCAGGAACGGGTTGAAACTGAAATCTCATTACAGGAAAATGCAGGTGAAAATAAAATTGGAGATATGGAAACAGAAATAACTGATCCGATTCATCAAGGTAATCTGTTCAATTTTATTGAGATTGGGATTATCAACAAGAACAATTCTTGTCAAGTGAACTCTTTTCTTAAGATTACTTGTTTTGAAATTTCAAATAATATCGTTAAAGACTCTAATCATTATGCATTTCCTCATCGTTTCTTATACAAAACACTTGCAAATGGAGAAAAATGAAAAAGAGACTGGTTGTGCTGGAGTGTTGAAAAACAATCTTTGTATTGTGCACCATGTTTTCTATTTAACAAAAATGCTGCAAATGTGTCATTTTTCTCTAGTTCTGCCAGATGGGGCATCAGTAGAGGTTGGAGAAGATTGAAAGATCATATTCCGTCGCACGAAAGTTCAATTTACCATAAAGCAAACTATGTTGTATGGAAACCTGCTAGTAGAGCAGCATTATGTGAAACTTCAGTGGATAATTTACTTTTATCAGAACTCAAGACTGAAACTGAAATTTGGAAAAAATTATTCCAACGTATTCTAGATGCTATTATTTTTCTTTCTGAACGTGGATTAGCACTTTTTGGCTCTAACCAACGAATAGGTGATTGAGCGAATGGAAACATTTTAGGTATTATTGAGCTTCTTAGCAAATATGAACTAAATATATTAAACTAAATATACCCATTTTTAGCTGAGCATGTTAAACATGTTCAAGAATCACAACAGTATAAGCAGCGAATACAAGCTCATTATCTTTCAATGCGAATTCAGAACGAATTTATTGATATTTGTAGTTCACACGTTCAAACAGCAATCCTCCACGAAATTGTGAAAGCAAAATATTTTTCAATAATAGTTGATGCTACTCCAGATTGCTCGTACAAGGAACAAACTACTCTGGTTATTCGTTATGTTAAAATTTTAGATAATTCAAACTTTTCAGTTGAAGAAAGATTTATTTTATTTGAAAATTTTTCATAAAAAACTGAAAGAGAAATCGCTGCTCGAACAATAGAAATATTGAAAACTTTGAAGCTGGATTTCGAAGAATTGGTCAAGCTTACGACAACAGTGCTAATATGGCTGGAAAGTATAATGGGGGGCAAGCGGTTTTGATACAACAAAATCTAAACTGTATGTTTTCTAGCTGCGGAAATCACTCATTAAATTTAGTTGGTGTCGATTGCGCTGAATCATGCAAAGAAGCAGTAACGTATTTCGGAACAATTCAGCAAACGCACAATTTATTGAGTAGCAGTCTTCAAAGGTGGGAAATTTTAAAACAACATCTTCCTGTTTCGTTGCATGGAATGTCCAAAACAAGATGGTCAGCACGGATTGATGGTGTTAAACCAGTTACACAATATTTAAACCCAGTAAGAAGTGCTTTAAACGAACTTGGGGTGCTACATTTAACAGCCCAGGCTAAAATAGAACTCGATGCCATTTAAAAGTATATTTCCAAATTTGATTGCATTTTGATGTCATCTATCAGGATGAAGCTACTCACAATGATTCATCAGACAAATCTAATCATCGAGGCTCGCCATGCCACTCTTGATATTGAAAAGGATAACATTAAAAATCTATGTAATGACATTCAAAGGTTGCGTGAACAATTTCTTGCAACAAATTTTGACAAAGAGTCAAAATTTGTTGCAAGAAATTGTTCACGCAACCTTTGAATGTCATTACATAAATTTTTAATGTTATCCTTGCCTTTCCAAATTATTACATTGCAAATTTTTATCAGCCTGCCTGCATCGACGGCTTCGGGCGAACGCACATTTAATGTTTTAAGGCAGATAAAAAATTATCATCGTTCAACTATGGGGCAGGAACGGTTGAATGGACTTGCTATAATGAAAATAAATTTGGATATTGCACGAAAACTAGATTTTTCAAATATAATTGCTGCATTTTCAGAACAAAAAGCAAGAAAAGCGTTTGTAAAAATTAATTAAAACTAATTCATTCTGTTTTACTTTTAGTGAATTTCTTTAGATTTCATTTTCAAAATGTGACATATTTAACTATTCATTTATAGTGAAAAATAATTACATATCGAAAAAAACCAAATAATAAAAACCAATTCATAATTATTTATGAATGAATCATTCATTTGTGATATCTGAATTGTAACATTCACAATAAAGTAACAGTGTAACATTCCACTCATACGTCGTACCTTCTTAATTCCCAGGCCTCCCCAAAAATGCGTTTTTGTTAGACAAGCGCGTCTCTTGGCTAGTTGGCTTGATAAAACGTACAAAAGGTGCCCCATCTGTGTGTGACGGTCTGTCTAATTTATTGCGTTTAGTCTTAAAGTTAGACATTTAATGGGTCCTGATCTATCTGAAAACTTAAATGGCTTTGCATTATCTTGCGTCGTGTTTTGCGCAAATTTTTCTTAAGGAACCTCCAATTTTTAACTGGCCGGGGCCTCTCCAAACCTCTGAAAGGCTCTGTTTATGTGTATCACACGTCCAGAGAAAAGTACTCGATGACACGACAGACTTAAGTCTTCTGCGAGCTTCCTATAACTACTAACAAGTAATTCTTCTTATTAATCTCACACAACTTTTGTTTTTATTATATTTAAACACAAACACTAGTTTGAAATGTGGTAAATAAACTTATAGTCAAACATCTAAACAATTCTCCAAAATATCAGCTAATTTATTTTATTTATTGTATTATTTTATTCAAACTGGAATAAAACTGAGATATATTTATCGGATTATTTTTACGTAAATGTTACTACATTATTTAGTATTAGTTAGTTTTTATTTTAATTGTGTCTCGGAGTTGTATGCAACTATATTTTTGTTTACATTGTATATTTCGTACTTTATGTTTATGATATTTATGTTTGTATATCTTTACCGTCAATCTGTGATTGGTTACTTGTAAATATTTTGTAGTTCTAAAATAAACATATATATATATATATATATATATATATATATATATATATATATATATATATATATATATATATAATACATATATATATATATATATATAAATATATATATATATATATATATATATATATATATATATATATATATATATATATATACATATATATATATATATATAAATATATATATATATATATATATATATATATATATATATATATATAAATATATAAATATATATATATATATATATATATATATATATATATATATATATATATATATATATATATATATATATATATATATATATATATATATATATATATATATAAAAGTACTTTTTCAATTTTTATATGTTCAAGATCTTTGGAACTTTTTTAGTTAAAAACTTTAAGGAAGTCAATAATTCTTGATAAATAAGTACTTTAATAAATTTTTCATGAAAACCTGAAATGTTTAAGAACTAGAGTTATGGTATATAAAGATCAATTTTGCCTAATTTTGAGAATCCGGTAATTTTTTTTTCTATGTAATTTATGATTTTTTTTCTAAAAAAAAAAAAAATACGCTTTTTTCATGAAACTTATATTTTAATAAAGGTAATTACCGTTAAAAAAAACGATAGGAGGTTATAGTATTATTCTATGACTTTCTAACAAATGCATTTTTAGAGTATTGGACTCATTGGGCCGTGTTTTACGAAAGTAACTCAAAAAACAAAGGAATAATTAAGAACACTGTTCCAAAAATAATTTCAATACAAGTAACTTTCATAATACAATTTAAAAAAATATAATTTCACCAAATCCTGATAATGGATTCTTATTGATTATTTCACTTGAATTAATAAAGTTGTAGCATGTCACGTATTTAGAGAACAAATCAACAAATTTCTCACTCAAGGCCATTGCCTTGTTATGAACATCTGTACCAATAAATCCAAGATCACTTAATATCTTAGGTATTGAATCTAATAAATGAAGAATAAATTTTAGAATACATTTACAAAATTAATGCTTAACAACTTTATGTATTTATGAACTTATGCATTTGAGAAAATATTTTTGAGAAAAATATGCTAAAATATGTATAGAAAAACCTTCAACATTTTATCAACATGATTCCCAATAAAATATTTTCCGTGGTAAGCTTGTCTTTGAACATTAGGAGCACATAGATCTTTATCAAGTTTTTTAACAAGATTTTTTTAAATATTTTTAATCTTAACACCATGGCCTACTATAATTACACAGCCGGATATCTTGCTTTTTGGAGCGAAAAATTATAAGGGTAACTTTTAGACTTTCTTAAGCGTCTTTCAAAATTGTTTATTTGAATGTTCATAATATGGTTAATACGTGTGCTGTAGTTTATTGTAAAACTAGATATAAAAAGAGGGAGAATCAAATGGATGTCATTCCTGAAAAGCATCCACTTCTCGGATTTCCAGATAATAATCCTGCCTTATTTAAACAGTGGGTAGCATTTGTCAATCGAAACTTTTTTTTTTTTTTTTTTTTTTTTTTTTTTTTTTTTCAGTTCACAATTATTAATCGTAATATAACAATATAACAATATATAAACTTGGTATCTGAAAGAAGATCCAAATGATCTTGTCGCCAGAACCATATAAAAGATATAATACGTGTATATATAATAAAATAAAATACAATTGATCAAATAACTAATAACAATGTAGAAGAAACAAAAACTGAAAATAATTTTACAAATTATCCAAAGTAAAAAAAAAAGAATTTTACATTTCAAAAATATTTATATATATTGCCAGTAGAAAGAATATAGTTTTTTAATTTAGTTTTAAAAACGGAAAACGAAATTGACAAATCAAAATTTGGAACAACAATTTTGTTCCATAAATACGGTGCTCTATAGTTTATGCAAAATTGATTAAACTTTGTTTGACAAAAGGGTTCAATTAATAAATTATTATTTCGTAAAGCATATTTGTTTATAGCTTTATAAGTAAAAAGATCTTTGAAATTGGACAATGGTCGTTCACTTTTACAACGAAACATAAAACATAAAATATTATAGACATTGAGTTCGTAAATATTTGAATGAGAAAAACGATTTTCGAAACATATTAAACGCATTGCGTGTTTCTGACGATGGTAAAGACTTCGTAACTTACTTTTAGAGGTACTTCCCCAAACAATATTTGCATAATTTATATAGCAATGAATAAACGAGTAGTAGAGTTGAATTAAATTTTGTTTACTTAGATAGTATCTGATCTTATATAGAATTCCAATACTTTTAGCCAATTTAGTAGAAATATAGTCGATATGATACTTCCTTGTAATATTTTCATCAATGTAAATGCCTAAAAATCTTGTGACCGACTCCTTTTTTATTTCAAATTTATCAATAAAAAGTTTAGGCAATTTATTTGGTAAAAAACGCTTTTTAGCAAGAGAGTGGAAAAGGATCCACTTTGTTTTGTCAATGTTTAAAGTTAACTTGTTGCACTTAAACCAGTTGGAGATCTGATTGAGTTCATTATTCCTATTTGAAAAAAGCTCATAAATGCTACTGTTTGACAGAAATAAATTAGTATCGTCCGCAAAAATTATACTCATAAGGTTAGAAGCTTTATTTAAATCATTTATATAAACTAAAAACAAAAGTGGGCCTAGAATAGAACCCTGTGGAACACTACATTTTATGTCAATTAATTTTTCATTTTGAAGATAATCTCCATAGAAAACAAATTGTTTTCTATTTTCCAAGTAACTTTGATACCATTTTATTAATTTGCCATTAATTCCGTAAAATTTGAGTTTTTTAAGTAGAATTTTGTGATCGACCGTGTCGAATGCTTTTGATAGGTCAATAAAAATACCTAATGTATTTTGTGATCTACCAAATGAATCGGAGATTTCACGAATGAACTGTGTAATGGCTTGTTCAGTTGAACAATTTTTTTTAAAACCGAATTGATTTTTATATAGAAGTTTATTTAGATTAAGGTAATTGTATGTTCTATTGAATATAATTTTTTCTAAAATTTTTGAGAAAGTTGAAAGAACTGAGATAGGGCGATAATTAATAATATTTGATTTTTTTCCGTTTTTGTATATAGGAGTTACTTTTAGCTATTTTTAATTGGTCGGGGAATACACCTTGCTGTATAGATGCCCTAAAGACTTTATAAAGAATACACTTTAAGTTTTCAAAGCAATCTATGACTATGTTGCCATTTATCTTATGGAAGCCCAGTAAGAATTCGGCTATTTGTGCGAAACATTTTGAAGAAAAATATTTAAAAATTGGCAAAAGAGTAACATTAGTTTGGGACTTTAATCCCGTTCCAACTATTTATTGCTTAACTGAAAAAATACCACCATTAGTATATCCAATTACATCGAAAACTAGAAAGCCACCTTCTGTCCGCCATTTATTAAACAATCAGGATGAATCCAGTATATTTATAGAAAAAGATAAAATTCACTGTTTAAATGATTTAAATAATTTTAGCCTTGAAGGGTATCAGGTTAAAA